CGTATGGCTGCATCGATCCGGTCGACCTCCACTGCGACTCTGGTATAAGTTAGTTATCGATTCTTGTCTAGTTCAAGTATGGCTGCATCGATCCGGTCGACCCCCACTGCATGAACTAGATCAAGGTCAAGTTATCAGCTCTACCTTAGGATGGTAGTCTTTGATAGATTCATTAAGTTACCGATATTGCTTATTGCTTTCATTATTTATCTAATTACAGCAATATCACTCTGCCCGATTGGGATTGATCTAGACCGGCCTTATATCTTGTTTAGCCTATTGTTTGCTAATCTAAATTGATCTAATCTACACCTTAAACGATGAGTTATGTTTTATCGGCTGTTTTATGTCAATCCTGATCGTGCATAGCGTGCAGTTAAGGCGTGTTGCGTCTTGAGCAGATTTATTGGCTAGCAAAAACCGTTCCATGGCCCGTTATCATGGCCTGTGTGATTCTGCCTCACACCCCACTGTTAGCACCGTAGAGTGGGGACCGTTATCTTGTAGATCTATTTCTGATAAGGCATGACTTTAATTGTGCGCTATGCCTGAATCGGCTGTTTTAGCCGATATCGAGTGCTTGCACGAACAGTTCGCATCATGAGATCGTTGAAGTAAAGATAGGTTGAAAGATATGTTAGCCCTATGATCTTATTATTATATTACGGCTTGCATGATTCTGCCTCATGTTCCACTGATATTAGTAATGAGTTACGGTCGTCGAGTCTATTGTTATTTCTACGGCCTGCATGATTCTGCCTCATGCCCCACTGGTCATAGCGATAGATGAGATCTAACATGTTCACTAGATTTATCTTTATCAAACGGTTAAGTGATGTTGAATTGTTTCTTTATATAAAATGGGATTCGGTTACTTGTAATCATTGGCTTAACATAAATCAATCATTGTTGACATCTTATTGTCATTGATTAATATTTGTTCAAATAACGACATTTACCCTGAATGATAACCCATTCTTCTTATACAACACAATGAGCTTTAACCGATTTATTCTCATGAATATGCTGGAATCGACTGTTTAGTCGATCTCCTTTCATATCGGCTCTCAGAGCCGCACATTCAGGACTGTCTGGCAACACCGGTAAGTTTCGCCCTTAATTATCGATGAACTTTCTCTCCTTGTCAATTATAGGGTCAAATTGACTAACACGTCTCGAGAGGAGTACACAGGATTGACCACCCTGCGTTGAAGCTAGGCGGATCTACAGCTCCATCGAGCAGACCCTTCCGGCTTGCTGCGTGTGTCCTCGGCACGGGACAAAAATTCTGTGTCGATAGACGTGGCTGTCAACTCGAAGCATAATCGAGCACGGGCTACAAGGCGATGGGGAAACGGCCAACACGCTCAGGACGGTGGGCCGCACGGTCATAAACCACAAACCGACGGCGGCGGCTCGGCCCAGCGTGCCGCAGTGGATGGCATCGGTCTGAGGAGGCAGCAGCGCAGCGTCGTCGAGCTCCGATGTGACGGCAAGGCAGGCAGGGCAAGGCGACGTGCGGGCAGAGCCAAGTGTGGCCACTGGCACACAGTACCGCCAGGCGAGCTCAAGGCGGCAGCGCGGCCAGGCGGGTGCGATGGCGGTGGTGGCCGAGCGGCCATGTCACCAGGCACGGCGCACGCGTGCTTGCATGGGTGGGAGCGTGAGCGCGTACCAGGGCACGGCAACGGGGCAGTGGACCGTAGCGCGGAGCCAGCGGCATGCCCGACCAGCACAGTGGCACGCGTGCGGCATGCGTGAGCATGCGCGTCGGCGAACCAGCGCAGCGCGCCAAGCCAAGGCCAAGGGTGACCGCGTCCAAACGCAGCAGCCGACGGTAACATGCCATGCATGGTTTTTAAAGCTGCTAAAAATTCCAACTCGATGATCCAATTGCTAAACCAACTATTTTACGTTCGAGATGGTGTATCAAGCTGCTAAAACCAACCTTAAGACCATGCCACTGCTTAACCCGATTCTCCTATAACAATTGTCGAACTTAGCTTCGTCGCACCATTTTTCGACTTACAAAAATTGACTAGTTTTTGTTCGGATTCGTGTTAATTTCGATTTCCAAGCTACCAACTATGCTAGCTAGTGACTCCCGTTCTCGACCGCAAGTATTTCACTGCCACCTACGAAGTTTACACTACAAACTTTATTAAAGTGCCGCATATGCGTTCTATAGCATTTTCGTTCAACAAAAATTCATTTAGAACCCTAAGTGATACAACGCGACATGAAATATAGCATTCATTTCGTGTTTCCGATGAACGTTTCAAGTTCCGTATATTGCTTTACACCCTATATTACACACATTTACATATAAGTATAATGCTCATGCAGTGTCTTAGCAAAAGACTGTACAGTGTAACACCGAGGGTGTTACACGGATCCCCCAGTAGGGGCGCCCTGCTTCCCCTTTTATAGGCAAAGGGAAAGCACGGGTTACAGAGGAGGAAAATGAGAAGAGCGAGAGAGAGAAGAAGGCTTCCAAGATCACCGGGTCCTTCTTCTCCTTCATGCGGGTCCCGCTAATCCTGTAGATGTCAACAGGGACGGCTCCATGTCGCGGCCCTATTCATCACTGGCGCCATACACAGGCGTTATCTGCTGGTCATGGCATTCCACTCTATCCCGGCGGACATCGCAGTGAACTGACACGCCTGTCAGTGTCCGTACGAGGATTAGGCAGAACAGTACCGGCACGCCCGACACTGCTCTTGATGTGAATCGCCAGGTATGGCCCATCATCGCCATGGGTTACATCGAGGCATGCCAGCTTCTTCCCTGGTGTCAGAGTTTTGATCCAAGCCCATACGCTTGGACCTGGAGTGGTTGGCGACGGTATAGGTCCCCGTCGGACAAGACGGAACCCGCGTCCTTGGGGTCGGGCGAGACGGAGCCCGTGACCTTGGGCGAGACAGAACCCGTGGCCTTGGGGTCAGGTGAGACAGAGCATGAGCCTAAGGGGTCGGGCGATATGGAGCCCGCGCCCGAGGGATCGGGCGAGACAGAGCCCGTGGCCTTAAGATCGGATGAGGCGGAGTCCGCACCCGAGGGGTCGGGCGAGACGGAGCCCGCACCTAAGGGCTCGGGTGAGACGGAGCCTGCACCCAAGGGGTCAGGCGAGACCTTTTAATACGTCTTGAGCCATCCGGGGGAGTCAGCGTAGGCGCTAACTTCCTTGTTTTTGGTATCCCTAATAACGATATCTGACAACTGGAATGGAGTTAAGAATGTCTTGCAATTTTTGCAAAGTGTCATAGGCCTCGTGCTGAGTAAGAAAGAACAAGTACTCTCAAATAGTTGTGGGTACAAATATTAAGTTTTGGCGAGATGTCTAGTGAAATCAACAGTAGTTGCTAACACTCGTAGTTGGAGTATTATTGTGAAAAAGCTCCAATAAAACAGTTGTGGTGTCATCAATGATGCATACCATAGTATAGCTTATCATGAGGCCTCAGAAACAGGTAAAAGTGGTTAAGAGAATATATACCCGGATTTAACAATGGTAGTCAACAGCAATAACCATTTAAAGTAGTTAACTCCTAAGACAACAGGTCAAGTGTGCTGTCAAACACATTGACATTAAGTTATATGTTGTAAAGGAAAAAATCCAGAATCATTTTAAAAGCATTGAGCATATAAGTACCAAGCAAGTACTTGCGGATCCGCTTACCAAAGGCTAATCACCTAGTGTGTTCAGAGAACACACAGTCGACATGGGTTTACGGGAAAGCCTATGATTTCTGGATACTAAGGACTTAGTTGAGAATCTGTTTCAAAACAGAGAGGTGCATTGTAGCTGTTTAATCTAATGGCAACTGACTGTGACAATGAAACACGCTCTATGCACTGATCTGCGATGGAATAGGAAAATGATAAAGTAAGTTAAGTTTAAGTCATAAGGTGAGATAAGGGAGAGAATGTTAGATTGATCTCCACCAGTGACCTAACGGCCAATTGGGCCCTTGATCCGCGCCCTGATCGAGGGCGCCCAGCCGTTCTCCTGGCTGGTGGGCCCCCGTCGCGCAACGCTATAAAGAGGAATGTGGGGGCGGGACGCAAGGTACGAGGTTCACCGTAGGCGCCAGCGTCCCACCGAGGTTCCTAGCCCTAGTCCGATCTAGAATGGCGCGCTGTAAGCGACGGGAAGTCCACACCGCCTTCACCGTCGTCACTGATCCGCGCCTACGCTGCTGCTACCGTCGACAACCTAGTGGGCGCCTGCACGGCTTCCCCTACACCGACACATCACGGCTACCTTGTTGACGGCGCCACGGCCACGACTGCACTTAACGAGGTACATTACAAAGTCTGCTTATCTAAGTTAAGAATTTTCTCATTGATCTGCATCTGGAGGTCCTACAAATCTATCAATGCAATTACAAGGTTCTGGGTTCATGAACATAACAAAAAATGAGGATAGAATGGCCGCTCCCTAATCTCTATCCTTGTCTAAATTGAGCACTCTGTAAAAATGACCAATCAGCTGATCGTTTCCGCCATAGATAGACCCAGCCCCCACCGATACTTTCACCATGGCGCAGCACGCCAGCACGTGTCCCCGACTATCCCGCCCGGCCAATTCCCGTCGTCCTGCTCTGTCCTCCCCATCGTCCCGTCCGGGCGAGTCGGGCGACCACACAAGCCCTCGTCGACCATCACCCACGTGTCGTGCTCCCCCTTGCTCACGCGCCTCGCTCCTGATCACCACCTCGCTTCTGCCTTCTCCCTTCCCGCGCCCGTCTCCTATATATACAGCACCACCTGCGACGCTTCTCTTCATCGACCTCGATCCATTGAATTTACTAATAAATTCTTGTTGGGATATATTCCTTCAATTCCCCTCCTCCTCCCAACAACAATCTGGTCGATCTCTCCCGCCAAACAAAAACCCAAAAAACAATCCGTCCGATCCCACAGAAACTCTCTCAGTTTCAGTTCGATCGATCGCTCCCGTCTCCATCGTTTGCCAGACACCAACACCCAAAACCATGGCCTTCAACCTGGCTCAGTGCGCCACCGCCGCGGCATCCGTCGCGCCCCGCACCCCTCGCCCTAGGTCCGCGGCCGCGGCGTCCGTGTCCGTCTCCTTCTCCGCAAGGAAGGCGGCGGCGGCGGCGGCCGGCAGCGTTCGGCTGCAGCGGCAGGCGTGCTGCGAGCCATCGGTGGCGCCGGCGCGTTCGGTGTTGTGCCGGGCCGCGGTGTCGGGGAAGACCGCGGCCGACCGGGCCGCCTCCAGGAGGAGGTCCGGCGGCGTGCCGGTGTTCGTGATGATGCCGCTGGACACCGTCAAGAAGTGCGGCACCGCGCTGAACCGGCGCAAGGCGGTGCAGGCGAGCCTGTCCGCGCTCAAGAGCGCGGGCGTGGAGGGCGTCATGGTGGACGTGTGGTGGGGCATCGCCGAGAGCGACGGGCCGGGGAGGTACAACTTCGCGGGCTACATGGAACTCGTGGAGATGGCGCGCAAGGCCGGGCTCAAGGTCCAGGCCGTCATGTCCTTCCACCAGTGCGGCGGCAACGTCGGCGACTCCGTCAACATCCCGTTGCCGCGGTGGGCCGTGGAGGAGATGGAGAGGGACCAGGACCTCTGCTACACCGACCAGTGGGGGCGACGCAACTACGAGTACGTCTCGCTCGGCTGCGACGCCATGCCCGTGCTCAAGGGCCGCACGCCCGTCGAGTGCTACACCGACTTCATGCGCGCCTTCCGCGACCACTTCGCCGACTACCTCGGCAACACCGTCGTGGAAATCCAAGTCGGCATGGGCCCCGCCGGCGAGCTGCGCTACCCGTCGTACCCGGAGAGCAACGGCACCTGGAAGTTCCCCGGCATCGGCGCCTTCCAATGCAACGACAGGTACATGCGTAGCAGCCTGAAGGCGGCAGCGGAGGCGGCCGGCAAGCCTCAGTGGGGCCACGGTGGCCCGACCGACGCTGGCGGCTACAACAACTGGCCCGAGGATACCATCTTCTTCCGCGGCGACAACGGTGGGTGGAGCACCGAGTACGGCGACTTCTTCCTGTCGTGGTACTCGCAGATGCTCCTGGAGCACGGCGACCGCATCCTGTCGGGCGCCACGTCCGTGTTCGCCGCGGCGCCCGTGGAGGTGTCCGTCAAGGTGGCCGGCATCCACTGGCACTACGGCACCCGGTCCCACGCCCCCGAGCTGACCGCGGGGTACTACAACACGCGGCACCACGACGGGTACCGCCCCATCGCGCGCCTGCTGGCCCGCCACGGCGCCGTGCTCAACTTCACCTGCGTGGAGATGCGGGACCACGAGCAGCCGCAGGAGGCGCAGTGCATGCCGGAGCACCTGGTCCGGCAGGTGGGCGCCGCGGCGCGCGCCGCCGGGGTGGGCCTCGCGGGCGAGAACGCGCTGCCGCGGTACGACGGCACGGCGCACGACCAGGTGGTGGCCACCGCCGCCGAGCGCTGCGCCGCCGAGGACCGGATGGTGGCGTTCACGTACCTGCGCATGGGGCCCGACCTCTTCCACCCGGACAACTGGCAGCGGTTCGCCGCCTTCGTGCGCCGCATGAACGGCGCCGGGTCGTGCCGGGAGGCCGCGGAGCGGGAGGCGCACGGCGTCGCGCAGGCCACCGGGTCGCTGGTGCACGAGGCCGCCGTCGAGCTGCGGAGCTGACCCAACCCACCGGGTTGGGCCGCCGGAAGCCTGCCATCGATTTGGATTGTGTAGGGGTTGGGAGCTCGGGTTCTTGTTGGGTTTTCCTTTTGGGGGGCGGCGGGAGAGGGAGCGCTGTCGAGAGCGAGCAGTCTCTCGTGCAGCTCATCCCGCGTAGACGACGAGATTGTGACGAAGCCGGGGGAAAGGGAGGGGAGGACAAAAGACTGTTTTTGTCACGTTTCAGGCTCCGACCATCGCCGGAGTTTGTTCGGGGAATATATCCATTTCCTGCAGAAATCAGCTGTGTTCCTGCACTGGCTGATTCGGTGCTGCTTCCAGCCTTCTCTTCTCCTCTCACCTGCTCTGCTGTGCTCTCTTGTTTGGCCGGCTGACAGGCTGCTTGAGGTCGACGGCCTGTGTCTGAGCCGGCCGCAGCCCTTTTGATGGATGTCTGTAAATCAGTATTTCTAACAGAAGTTACATTGCATCCATTTCCAAATGAGTCCACAAGATGTTAATAGTGACCAGTAGAATTGTTAGGATTGTAGTGGGCGAGTTATCTATCTAAAATTTACACATATGGATCGATCGTCGAAGGGGATTATTTGGTTTCCAGACGAGCCGAAAAGGGAGCTACAGAGATGTGGGACGTATTCAGATAGATCAACGACAACGACAGTCATCCTCGTGAGAAAGACTACGAGGGAACGTACTCCTAAGCTTCCGTTGCTAGAAACTTTCATATAAAACCGCGTCCAAGTTTTTCCACTGCGTGCGTGACTTTGTTTGATAAAATTAGGGCATTTTGTGTGGGGTATTACGGCCTTTATTTGCCTTGCCGGCATGATCCCATCGTGCCTCACCTCCCACCTGCACGATCCCGTCTTGCCTCATATCAGTAAGCTAGGCTCACATGACCCAGATTGGGCGCAGGAAAGGTCACTTTCAATGGCTGCTCGTATGTACTAAGTCAAATGGTAAAGAAACAGTGTTTATCCGCATGAATACATGTTGCATAGGTTGAAATTGTAACATGATAATCATTTTAATCTTTGTACATTACTCTGTATTGTGTAAATACTTACTAATTATAACAATTTTGTATCATGTACGTGAAAATAGCAATGGAGTAATTGTCGATCGAACCTTGTCATGAAGAAACGCAAACCCTTCTAAATAGAAATGGATATAGCATACCGCAATAACATTCCCTTTATCTTATTATGAAGACATATCTACTTTCTTAATTTTCATTAATCACACTACACTAAATGTTATTGCGTGTCGTATCTGAATATAGCCGGTGACTCCAGGCGGCTAGTCAAGATCTATAATTCCTAGCAGACTAAGCTACAATGAACACAAGTTGCCTTTATTTTGTATCATGTACAAGTTGCTACAATGAACACAGGTTACCCCACACGACACACCTTCTATCTACCTTAAAACAGGTGGCCTCCCCGTTTACTTCTCTTCCTCTTCCCTCACCTCCTTCCTCTCTCTCTCTCTTTTTTTTTTTTTTTTTGACGATTGGAAGGGCTCACCCCACCACTAGGATCCAGGTACAATATGAATATTGAATGTCTGAATTTAAATACAAATTATCCATTATTATTATTAATATTTGATACCTTTCAGTTCAAACGGATAAAATGTAAGAAATATTCATCCCATTTCATCTTTAGTGTGTAGGTGAGACACAATACAAATGATTTTATAATGAAACTTGGGTCCTACTCTGTGTTGTGTTTTACTTTCTACTCCGTAATTATTACAATTTTGTATCATGTACATGAAAATAGCAATGGAGTAATTGTCGGTTGAACCTTGTCATGAAGAAACGCAAACCCTTCTAAATAGAAATGGGCATACAGTAATAACATTCCCTTTAACTCATTACGAAGACTACTTTCTTAATTTTCATTAATCACACTAAATGTTATTTCGTGTCGTATTTTGGTATTTGAATATAGCCAGTGACTCCAAACGGCTAGTCAAGATCCATAATTCCTAATAGACTAGGCTATAATGAACACAAGTTACTTTAGGACCTGTTTGGCATGATTAGCACAGCTTTGACTCCTTGTGCATAGAGGAGCCAGAGCTTCCTCGCTACAGTGCATGAGGGAGCCAGAGCTAAGAGCACCTCCACTACCGCTAGATTGAACATCCATCTCTAAAATGTGAATAGGAGAGCTATACTGCATCAGATTGGGAAGATCCTAATTCTCTTTCCATATGGCCCCACTTGTCAATGAGATCGTTGTTTCCTCTTCGCTCTTCACTATCAGGGCCTGTTTGGAACGAAGGAATCCAAAACGCAGGAATAAGGTATGACGAAAAGTGAAAAACTACGGGATTTCAAAACACAGAAACAGAAAATTTAGGTTGTTTGGAACACATGAATTTATAACATAGGAATTGATGGCGAGCAGAATGCTTTTCTCCTCACTGGCCTCGGACTTCCGCAAAACCACGGCTCGGAGTGAATGCTTTTTTCCCGTGTTTTGTGAAGCATGCGATTCCTTTCCTCTGGAACGGCTGGCTGCTTTCCTCCGTTTCAAACGGTGTATGATGTTAGCAAAACAAAAGAATGAAATTCCTTTAAAATTCCTGTGAAAATCCTCCAATCCAAACGTGCCCTCTTTGTCTTTCCTCTCAGGATTCCTGGAAAACGGCGGTAGGTCGGGTAGGTCTCCTCTCGGGCTTCTCACAGTCGCTGTCAGGCGAGTCTCTTCTCTTGTGCTTCTCACGCAGTGACGGAAGGTCACTCCCCTGCCCGATGTGACCTGTGGTGTGGCGCTCATTCCCGGGTGCAGCCTGACAGCACAGTGGTGCCCGCTCCCGGGCAGCCACTCCCGCCACTCGACATGGCTAGGCGGTGCGTACTCCCACCGCCCCGATGCGGCCTGGCGACGTCTATCAGTAGGGAAAGGGGAGCAATTTGCTCTCCCCTTTTCTTCGAGGGATCGAGGGATTATTTTTCACAATTGAGAAGAAAAGGAAGAAAGAAGGATTGAAACAAATGTGCTAAAGCCTTTCTTTTTTGCCTCGAATTCCCTTTATCTCTAGTTATAAGAATTACTTATTCTCGATCTAGTGAAGATGATTCTCATCTGGTGCAGATGCTCTAAAGCCAACAAGAACACCTCGAACTTTATTTAGTGAAAGATGATTCTCATCTGGTGCAGATGCTCTAAAGCCAACTAGAACACCTCGAACTTTATTTAGTGAAAGATGATTCTCATCCGGTGCAGATGCTCTAAAGCCAACTAGAACACCTCGAATTCCCTCTATCTCCACTTAAAAGAATTATTTATTCTCAATCTAGTGAAGATGATTCTCATCAGGTGCAGATGCACTAAAGCCGACTAGAACAGGCCCTCAATCTATAATGCCAACGTGATAAACGCAAAATACATGATAACGATCCAAATGTAAGGACGCTGACCGGCCCACAGCTCACAACAGCCATCATAACGGTGATTATACACAGGAATACCCCTTGAAACCTAACAACGTTCGCGCTTTCACGGTCACAACCTGCAGTGCTACCTTCCCAGTTTCCACTGCATGGTTCAAACAACATAAATACATAATTAGCACCGAAGTGGTTCAAAAAGGCACATCTTTGTTCTCAGAAGCAAAGATCAAGGTATAAAGCATTCTGCGAAACTCAGGTTTGCACCTAGAATGGGAAATCTTTCAATAGGAACACACAATAGGTTCATACTACTGCTCAGAGTGAGCAAAAATTGTACGCACAGGAGTAACACAGATGTAGAACTGGGTACTGCAGGTAGGTAGACCAAACAACCTAGTATCCACCCTTGAGATCATTGACCACATCGTACGGGATGGGGGTGACAGTCTCGATGGTAGTTCCCTCAACCATGAAGCCAGGCTTGGGACCCAACGGCTGCCTCTTGGTGCTGATGACCTCGCCACGTGCCTTGGCGTCCGCCTTCAGCTGGTCATTCTTTGCCTTCCTCAGGCGGAACTCTTCTGTGCAGCGGGACGGCTGCACATGCTCCACACGGACATGGATACGCTTCCTGATGATGCGACCATTAACCTGAAACGACAACAATTTATCAGAATCAGAAGGACTTTAACATAGATTAAAAAATTATCACTGATAGCACTACTGCACTAACTAAGCTTGACACAATCCTATCGTGCACAGATTGCAGATTTAATTGCATATAGCGTCTAAGTGTTGTAGATACTGATTGATCAGAAATGTTTGCTCTGCGTCAAACAATAAACATAATCATTGCATACAGTTTTTGAAACAGGAATGAGTTCATAACAAGGATTTAAGAGGCACATTGATCCCTTGCACCCATGTAGAGGGAAAAGAAACCATTATCACACTACAAGGTATGGAACTCAGTGTCTGGCATCAGATTTTAAAGCCAAACGTACCTGCTGCAGAGCAACTAAACAACTAACAAAGAATATTACATGAATACAGCTGAACAGGCCTATGGAAACCTCGCACATTTAGTCAAACTAGAATCGTATTACGCCAGTGTAGTAACAAGAACACAATCATACATGGACCTATAATTAACCTAATTACAGAATCTATCGCTACTAGATCATACAAAGAAATGGTTGTGGTTGCCCATTCCTGCCACTATAAAAATAAATCGCAACCTGGGCTTGCAAAAATTCTATAAATCCAAATCGCCACCAGCAAATTGTCGCCATCCTAAATTAAAACCTTCCAATTCCTAGTATGAAACGAACAGAAGACGTGCCCGCGCACCAAACGTAAGCGCCCTGCACAAACAATTCTAACTGCATGCGAGCTAGCGAAAAGGGGATCCGCGTTGTGTATACCTGCTTGTTTATCTCGACGCCGATGGCGCGCTTGGTGACGTTCCAGACGCGACCGGTGCGGCCGTGGTAGAACTTGTGCGGCATCCCCTTGTGGACGGCGCCGTTCACCTTGACGTCCACGTAGTCTCCGATCTTGTAGGTGCGGAGGTAGGTGGTGAGTGGGATGTAGCCCTTCTTGCGGAAGGGGCGCGCGAAGAGGTCGCGCGTCCGCGAGCGCAGCCCGTGGCCAGCCGGCATCCTGGCTGCTCCTGCTTGCTACGCGCGGCGGCGGTGGCTGGGGCGGCGGCTGAAGCGGGTGGGTGGAGAGCGCTAGGTTTTGCCAGGGTTTCGGTGTGCTGACGGCTTTATAGGTGGCGTGGGAATGGCTTGGGGGCCTCGGGGGGATTGGATCACTGGGTGCTGGTGTTGGGCTGAGCTCGTTTGAGTGGGCTTGGTACTAACAGGTTTGTGTTGAGCCATAAAATAAGCCCATTTACTTCCCTTCTATTTCCCTTTTTTTTGTGAATTTCCCTTCTATTTCACTTCTGTCTAAGTGTCTAGCGCGATAACATTTTTCAGAGGAAAAGCCCATCTCTCACATCCCTCAACCAGGGAAAGAATATGGGTAGCCCTATTCAAAACCGATGACTTTTTATCTAATTATTAGAGCATGTGTGTGAAATAATTTAGGTTAATACAGCTATGGCAGAACTTTGAAGCAATTCCCTTGAGAAGTGCGATCGGGAAGCGAATAAGGTGGTGCACGAGTTAGCGAAAGTAGCTTTATTAGCAAAAGAAATTTGTATTTGGGTCGATGAACTCCCTGATTTTATTCTTGAGAGTTGTAAACGATGTAATCCTATTTGATAATCAATAAAGTGCGCCGCATGGCTTCCCTAAAAAAATCTATATTTATTGAGTTCGTGGTACATATATGGTTTTGCAGTATTTAAACCCATAAATCCATCATGACCACCGTTTTCGCCTTGACGATTGTCTGATGGGTCGTTGTTGCGCGAGCCACGTTGGTTGGGTGGCTGTGAGCGACTTGAGTACTGGCGGCTGTAGCTTGATTCGACTGAGATGGATGGAGTCCGGGCTTGATTCACGATCTCTGTGGTCTGGGCCATAGCAGCCATTAGGTAAGCTTGTATATCATCTCGAACTGCCTGGATTTCCGGGGTATTGGGTAGTCGTTGCATTGTCGCCATAGCAACAACTACGTTGGCGCTTGGAGTCCTGGAGACCTGCTTGTCCCCCACCCTGTCAAAGGCATTGTTAAGGTCATGTGGCTGGACCCATATGCGTCGTGCCTCCTCTTCCGCCTCGGCTTCGACTTGTCGGCGATTAAACCGATCAATATTGCGTGTTTCGCGTGCCAGCCTTTCTTGTTCTGTTTCGCCAACTGCTGGTGGTTCGTCATTACTGACAACATTGATCAAGTCTCCTCGTCTTGGTGGGAAGGATGGGAATCGTGGGAACCCCGGGGCGTGGTTTGGGATATCCAGATCGTATTCAACGCCCTCATTGTCATGATGCTGGAGCTCGGTGTGGACGGAGCCATTAGATGCGGTGCTGGATAGGGAGCTTGAGCCACCCTCTTGAACTGTGTGGACCGATCCTTCTTGGTACTCCTCAATCCAGACCATGTTGACGAAGTTGCGTGGTTTTGGCCAAGATCGTTGCATATTGCACGCATAGTTGGAAGCAGAGTTTTGCAGGCCGTAGGGCTGAGCCTGGTAGTTCTCCGTCGAGGCTTCGTACTCAGAGATTCGGAGACTCGTCGCGGGGGCTGGACGGCGACGAACGGAGCACCCTTCAGGAGTAGATGTGACCACGAGATCCGTACCGAGTCGTGCAGGATGACTTGCCCGAGCTGGTCGGGTAGATCTGTTGTGGGTAATGGTTACCTGCTCATTAGGTTGACTTTGAATCGAACTTACCAGAGCTAGTGTTTCGGCAAGTTTGGTGCCGACCCGATCGATGGAGTCGAGCAGGTCAGAGTTGTCGATCTGCCTCCCTTTGTAGCGAGGAAGCGGGCGATGGGTTATCGGCGTGGCTGAAGACGATGCTGGCGTGGCTAGAGCCAGATCCACCGTGGTCGGAGCCATAGCCGATGCAGATGAAGCAGTGGTCGACGCAGATTGAATCCGCGCCTCCTCCGTGGTCATGGCAATGAAGTCGTCGGAGCCAGTGGTCCAGGTGATCTGGCCGATGGTGAACGTGAGGTCGTTCGGCGTAGCCATGGAACCGGGGATGATGACCATCTTGTTCGTCTGGAGAGCAGTACACACACCCCCTACCTGGCGCGCCACTGTCGACGAAATATGGTCGGCAGTCTACCTAGAGGTATGCCTAAGGTAGTAGATTATCGGCAGACAGATGCGCAAGCTACAAACAAGATGGTGACGCAAGACAGACACGAGGTTTTATCCAGGTTCGGCCGCCGGGATGGCGTAATACCTATGTCCTGCGTCTGATTGTATTGCTGTATGTCAATGAGAGATGTTTTTGAGAGGGGTCCCCTGTCCGCCTTATATAGTCTGGGGGACAGGGTTACAGATCTAGAAACTAATCCTAAACAGTTATAATTGCCGTAGGTGGCCGGATAAGGATTCCTATTCTAACCGACCAGGATCTTGCTTGATCTCCAAATCTGTCTTGATTCCTTGCGCAGGACTCTGAACAGATTGACCGGGCCACGCGTAGTCTTCTAGTGGGCCAAACCCCCTGGTTCGGGCCGGCCCAAGCCTAGCCGTAAGGGTATAGGGGTTAATACCCCCACAGTGATAATAAATAAAGCTTGTCTTGTCGGAAGGCAAGACCAACACACTTATTATTAATCATAATCCGACATTTGCTATTACCAAAATGACAATCATATCCATCATCATCTAGTCGTGAGACACTTATCAAGTTTCTACTCAAAGAGGAGGCATAGATTACAATGAGATATTTTCTCCAGTCTCATGTAAGGATTCGGCTCGGCCTTCTTCTCGCGCGCCAACGAGACGGCAGCGCGGCGCAGCGGCCAGGTAAGCCGTCTCCCAAGCCCTTCCCCTTTCCTCTTCTCTCTGATTGATCTTGCTCTATTCTTCTCGGATCTTGTCCGATTGGGGTTAGGGTTAGGGTTAGGGTTAGGGTTATGTCGAGTTAGGGTTAGGGTTTGAGTACTGTTCTTCTTCCCCGAGCTATCTACGCAGGTTAGGGTTAGGGTTCGAGTTCCTTTTCAAAACTGAGACCCTTTCTTCCTCATTTTCTTCACCCAATTTGGGTTTAGGGTTCGATGAACCCTCTGTTTAGATCCGAACCGGATCTCTCACCTCCTTCTAATTGCTGCTACTCGGTTTTCTACTCCGATAAGTTAGATCTACGCCTAGTTAGGCGACTGATACCATTGATAGAAACGTTACAGGATCACTACCCATAAATCTAGCATATAAACTGACATTTGTTGAAGTGTAAACCCTAGAACATGTACTAGTACGTGATTAACAGATAGAGTGAGAGAGAGATAGGGGTTAAGGAGGTGCAAACCATCGGCCCCCTTCGTGGAAGACGAGCTGGCCATGGTGTTGCTTGACGGTGGCGCAGTGAAGACCGACGGTGAAGGCGCTGTCGCGGTGGCGGCGGTGCAGAGGCGGCGGTGTCCGGTGGTGGTCTTTCCGTCGCTGGCAGCACCCCTCTTAGATCGGTTAGGGTTTAGGGACTGTAGGTGGGGCGTCTGGCGGCTCAGGTAAACCTCGTGCCTTGTGCTCCGGCCCCTACCTCCCTTTTTATGGCGCTATGCGACGAGAGCCCACCAACCATGGAATGGTTGAACGTCCCTGATCAGAACGTAGATTCAAGAGCCCAATTGGCCGTCGGAGATCATTTAACAGACCACTGTCAAAATCGTGAGCTCTACAGGGGTCCACACGTTCATCATACGTACACGCTGACTCGCTGAGGTAGAGCATCTGCAGTTCGGCACCAGAAATTGGCCTGTACTCTCCTCCTCCTCTTCTTCTTAATAAAAAAATGCCACTTTAATTTGTGCTTCTAGAAATGGTCTTCTGTTGAATAAAATAGACCCCGGAGAATGCCCTTTTCAGTCTGATTTTTATTTTGGTCGCCATCAACGATGGAGGTTGCAAAAGGAGACCATAGCAGCCTCCGATTGGTTAACGTGTATGGTAATTGCTGGGCCAAACCAAACCCGATGCCGCCACGTTGACCCCGGGGGCCCGGTCGACGCCTCTGACCAGGCGCCACGGGCAGCAACACAAGCGGGCAAACGAGTCGCCCTCGCCCCGCGCCTGCGCCGCCGACATGTCGAGATGCGCTGCACGACGGTGGCCAGCCAGCGCATCGCATCGCAGGAGGAGTGAGTGTCCGTCAGCGTTAGAGCGAGCGTGGAGAGTTCAAATCCGCTCGCAACTTCTCCTCTCCTCTCCGGCCTGTTTGTTTGTTAATAATATACTATACTACTATAAGGGAAACTAAACCTAGCTGAATCCGCCGTGAACGGCAACTTCTCCTCTGCAGCCTCGATGGCTTCCAGCTCCGGCGCTGCGGCGCCGGCCGCGATCACCGTCGAACGGAAGCCAGCGGCGGCTCGCCTGTCGGAGCTCGGCGTCAGGTCTTGTCCCAAGTGAGTAGACGGCAAGCGCGCTGCGCTGTTCTGTTCTATCCTGTTCGAGTTCGACCATTCATCTGAGAAACGAGTCCCGTCGCGCATTTTCTCGTCGCGTCACCCGCAGCCGTTGGAACACGTTGGTTGCAGGTGGGGCGGTCCTCCGGGGAGGCACGCGCTGAGCTACGGAGCGCGGCAGACGTGCTACATCGTGAGAGGCAAGGCGAGCGCCACCGTGGAGGGCTCGCCGGAGAGCACCGCCGCCCAGGTCGGCGCCGGGGACCTCGTCGTCTTCGCCAGGGGAACGCAGTGCACCTGGCACATCGTCGCCGCCGTCGACATGCGCTACGCCTTCGATCCGTCCTCTAACAGCAAGGAGCCAACGACTTTGCTCTATGCAAACTGAAGGGCGGAACAGCTGTTGTTGATAATGATAAAGGACCAACAAAATTGAGCATTCCAATTTTGATCTAATTCCAACTCCATTCCTGCACATCCAAGTTTGATCCAACTTACTTATTTGTGCCTTAAAATTCCACGCTTGAGGATACTACTACCTCAAACATGCCTTTTGGCAACTGATCCAGCAATCCAACTCAGAGCATTTGCACCTCAAAACCTCACATTGTAAAGAGGTAGACCAGTGGTTGGACATGCATTTTGGCATCAGATCCCAAACCATAGATATTCGACCAACAGTATTATAATAGGAACTCAACACCCCCCAACACCCTTCTGCTTCAGGGGGGACACCTGTTAACATCTAAAGCTCGAAGAGCCATAACATCTGAGCCCTAAGAGGCAAGTACGACCACTACGATAACAAACAACATGACGGTGAAACTCTTCTTGTACATAGCCTACTTACTGTACAAGGGGCACCATCCCTGTCTCCTGTTGTAGGAGACCTAGAAAGGAGCATGTCGATGGCACCGATTTATTATTCATGGGTTCAGGATATGCTGAGGCAGCCAGGCAGGTCACGGCTTAATCTCAATCGAACTCAAACTGAATGTTTGCAGACTCCACCCTTGATATCTCAGGCTGCTGAGCTCCTTCTTCTATAGGTAATTCATTAGGAGGGACAACCACAAAGTCATTCAGGTGAGCTTCATTTGGAACAGGATTGCTCTGGCCAATCAGATGGCCCAAATTCTCTGACGTTTGCATAGGACCATCTGCCTGAACACTGCCATCTGCTGTGTCATTGGATGAATCATGCACAAGAGAATATGTGAAGTTCTCTGATTCTGCAATGGGCTCATGCTGAAGATGGAACCCATGGTTTGCAGTGGGATGCATGGTTTGAGAGTCAACCGTTACATGCTGAGACTCAGGGATGCCCATATTGTAATCTTCTACCCCCAGATCAGATGCCATGGTAGCAAGTATGTCTTGCCAGCTTGATGTGCCAACATCTATTATTGCTGGTTCTGGGAGGCATTGTGTTCTCTGAGTTGTAAGCGAGGTGGACCGTGCAATTTGCGGCCCTGTGGCGTGCATTCCATTTATGGCAACCTGATAATATCCCGCAGGTTGACCTTGTTGCACCTGAGGTGCTATCGGTGCACTGAAAGATCTCTGAAAATGGTTGTTCTGAGAAGTGCCAGTGAAAGCATTGGTTGTAGGTGCAACTTGAACAGGCTGAGATGCATTAGACGATGCCTGCTGCATAAGGAGATCATCTGGAGCAGAAGAACAAAATTGGCTAGCATTTCTTGTTGCAAAGACTGGAGCAACAGTCCCTGCTCTTTTGAATATTGCATGGGAATGAGTACTTTGAGCAATGTGAGCATTGCCAGTACCTCTTCCAGCTCTTGGAGACCCAACTGTTGCCTCTACACTCAGTGAGACTCTCACCGAGGGATGTCTCTGTTGGTTTTGGCTCCCTTCATTAAGACGAGGACTTTGGATGGAAAGAGAAGGGTGACTCCCATGTGATATGGAAGGCGATTGTGGGACTGAAACATGGCACTGCATAGGTTGCTGTCTGGGTGGTGACAGTGTTGAGTAAACGCCGTTCTGGTGTTTTTCTGGAAAAGATGCTGGCAACAATTTTTTCTTGAATATTTGCCTCATGTTTCTCCATTTTGAATCCTTGTCTGTAGCATGGCAATGATCATCAGCTGAGGTACTGTTACCCCAATATTTGCAAGGAGCTGGAGCGTCACATACAAAACAGTGGCACTGCATTCGAAAAACAAGAATACAACATGCCATTAAAGAAATTGTACCGGTTACATTCCTAGCATGTTTGACGTATTGTATTCCCCAAAACATCAGGGCGCGAAAATGTCTGTTACTAACCATGGTACAATGCTTCACGTGAGTAGTAGTGCTGAAAGGCAAGTTTGAGCATAAATGGCGCGAATGAGGGAAGTCCCTGCATGCTATCTGAAAAACAATAGACAATTAACAAAAGCAAAAGCAAAAAAAAAAGGAATGCTAGTGAAGTAAAACTGCAATTTCTGTGAAAAAAACTTGACATGAACAAATACGACAAGGTCGAGACAGAAACACTTAAGCAGATCATTTCCACATTAGAGCAGTGCATGTTTAAGCACTTCCATACTAATACGAGCCTCATGGTACATTCCACAGCATTACCGCCAGAAACTAACGACCCTAGCAGATGCGCATAGACACAAGATGAAAGCAGCAAAAGATAACATATAACTACTACACACAGCAAATCATTAACCTTTTATGCACAGCTTCTCCAACTAGTACTATGAATGCAACTCAATGATTCAACTCTCTACATGCTATCAAATACTGCATAAAGGACACTATTTGTATTCGAGAAATAAATAAATAAATAAAAGGCACTATTTTTATGGCATGTACAAAATGCAGTGTTATTGCTATAGATCAGAATGGAAGAAATGAAATACCGGGCCTTTCTCCGCGACTATCTGCAATTCATCCGAACTGCCATCTCCCGCGCTCCCCTCATCAGGAACTGTAACCGCCTTATCAGGGTCACCATCTAGAACTACACAATCATCATCATCCTCATGGCACCCACCATCAGCACTGGCCTTCTTCTGCTGCAGCGCTGGTGGCGAGGACAACTCACCCATAATCACGAGCTCATCAGGGTTGGCTGTCTTCTGCAACACTGGTGGAGCAGATATCTCACTCATAATCATGAGGTCATCGATATCCTCCCCGGTCGTAAAATCAGCCACACCGCAAATGTGATCTATAAACCGTGATAATGCAACGGGGTCGAGGGGTTCCGGGAGTTTTAGTGAAGTGCCCATGAACAAGTCCTCCTCATCGGAGCTGATGTCCACAACATGATCCCCCACCGGTGCCATCCAAACCCCCGAATCAGCAACCTTAAGCTGCCGCACGGATTTCCCACAAACGAAAGACAACTCAACCAGCTCCCGAGGGACCAAGAAACACTCCCCCTGACACAAGGCTAGCCGGAGAAAGGTGAGCTCCACATGTAGCGCTGGATCGAGAACGGGCAAGGGTCCCCAGAGACGCGACCAGGAGCACACCTATCCCATCATAACACAAACTTTAGTTCATCCGACGGCCGATTTGCCCGTCGACGCGAAGGGCTTCACCGCGTGACGGCGAAATCCAGCGGCGGTGGGGTGGGGAAAGTGCCTGCAACCAACAGATTCAGTGAATAAACGACACAGAAGCCATAAACCTCCACGGAGGAAGCCGATTCAGAGAAGCAGATGCTACGATTAACAACAACAAACAGAAACGCGCACAAGGGAGTAGGAGAAGCGTCCATACCTCAAGCAATCCTCTCTGTCCTGCTCGGTGGAGGAGAAGAAGAGAGGGTGGGGGGGGGGGGTGGAGAGAGAAAGATCACTTCTTTCTGGTGTCCTGGGGAGGAGAGAGCAGACTGTTCCTCACCTCCGCCTGAAATCTCCGAAGAAATCCAGCAGTTAATTCATCCCGCTGCCACTATGCATCCCGTTAACGATATTCCTATGGGCCCTCGGCTTTATTTCCGCTTCCGCCGATGGAAGTGGGCAGTGAGGAGGAGATGAGAGAGAGAGGGGTGAGGGGCGCAGGGGGAGGGGATGATTACATACTAGTGGGACTGTAGCAGCGTGCGCCGCGCAGCCGTGGCCTGACGGGTGCGGCAGGCGTCCAGTGGGTTACGGGTTTCGGAGGTTGTTGGGTCCGCTTTGGAGATTGACTTGGCTTGACTCGACCTCGATTGCTTCTCTAGTCCTTGATAGGAAATGGAATGGAACTTTCAACAGCTTCAAATGTTTGCACAAATGAGCTTGATGAGGAAATGGAAAGTGTGAATTGTGTTATGTATGTTAGTGGACTTGGTTATGAGTTTGAGAGAGTTGCAACCGAAGCTAATAAGGGCTTAGTCATTATGGGCTTTCTGCAACGGTCGAGGGGAGAAGATGTTTAAAGAATTCGCGCCAACAACAGAAGCTAGCGAGGGCTTAGTCAGTATGGTTTCTTTTGTGCAACGGTCGAGGGGATAGGACATTTAAAGCATTCGCGCCAATGAACTTTTCGCATTGAAAAAGTACCCGTGTTTGCAACGGTCGAGGGGATTGGACATTTAAAGCATTCGCGCCAATGAACTTTTCGCATTAGAAAAGTACCTTCGGTTTTTCTTAAGCTATCCTTCTTAGTCCCAACTGGAAATATATAAGTGCATAGTAACTTAACCTTTGTCAGTTTGTCTATTTTGTCTATATTGACATATTGGCTCATTATACTCGTCAACAATCAGCCCCAAAAGAGTTAATTCAGTTGATTCACACATGATAGTATCGCAGTCACACTCATCACCATTGCACTGCAGTGACCATGCAAAGTAGTCATACACATGCACTGTGAGAGCAGTAAGGTGTAGAGAGGTGAGTTACTTGTCATATTACACATGGATTCCTTATAGTTAGAAATTTCCATAATGTTTGGGCTGTATCAATGGCTCCGAATAGCCAGGTTATCTAGCCAATTATCTGACACAAGGCTAATATGAACCAAGATCAGAACAACTCCATGAGATTAGCGGGAGAGGGAGATGTGCACGGGGCTAAGCAATGGCACGGGCTGGAGAGGAGATCACACGGACTTGGCGAATGAGCATGGCTTGTTTATATGTCAAGCAAAATTTGAGGGATAGCACGAGACTACTTTTAGGAGAATAAAATGAATAGTATGTTGTAGGCTAATTACATAAAGTTTTTAAATCAAATTATACGGTAAGGAACAACAACTCTTTCAAAAGTTATCTTTTAGAATTGGTCTTAAGCTAGGCAGTACTTCCTCCGTCCAAATATCGTCACCGTTTTAGCCTGAGGCACCGTGAGCAAGGAGCACCCAAAGCCACATTCATTTTTAATTGATCGCCACGCGGCTCTTAATACTTCGGCGTCTGTTTCACTTCCCGATTGATCTCGCGCTCACGGCGCTGAAAGTGTCATTACCTTACTGTAATCACGCCCTCAGGCAGGAATCCATGCGCGGTCGCAGAAACTAATTTGACCACGCTGCGATGGACCTTCCATCAGATGTCGTCCATACCAAAATTTGGTCGTCACAGATTAAAAAAATTAGCAATAGTTCATCAAAATTTCACTTGCCACCATTCACCAGTTCCGTTTTCAAGTTGTCATCGCCTATGTAAGTCACCACTCACCAGGGAGGATCACTGCGGCCAAGCTATTCCAGTGAGCTCTCTCCCTCACTTTTCTTTTTTTTCCCCTCCGTATCTGATTCATGGTGGAGTTTATCTATATCTATACCTAACTATATCTATACCTAATAATAAAAGAGACAAAATTTTAGCCTATTTTTTTAGCCTGTCCATATTTTAGTCCGTCTTTACCTAACTAAATCCGCAAATATAGAAACTGTCTCTTTTCACGTCAGTTTATCTAGCGTTATATACATATATGACATCTGTAAATAACATGAATATAACTGAAATCCTAATCCAAGCTAATATGCTCGGTTTGTTTTCTTTTCCACCGTGCGTGTTTCCCACGGACGTCCGAGTTTATTTTTGTTTTTCTTGTTTTCTAATTTTCTGTCCATCTGCATGGTTATTTTTTTTTCATTTTTTTGTCTGTCGTACATGTTTCCGCAGACGTCTGTTTTCTTGTGTTTTCAATTTCTTCCTTCCATTTTCACCGTCGTTTTTCTTTTTTCTATTTTTTTGTGTTTATTTCCCATATAAATATAAAACAAACCTAAATATAACTATGAATCCTAATCCAAATACAAGATGTTTCAATCGGATTTCTTTTATGTTTATTTTGGAAACTAAGGTACCACGTGTCGTATAAGAACCCAGCTCGATCACGTTGCGTTTGAACCTCTCGTTTGTGTTTCTCCTTACTGATAAAAACTATATACAGAAACCCAAAAAAGATACACAGCCTCTGTAGGATGCTCGTGCGTACTCCTTGGGGCTCGTAGGGCAACCAGGCTAGCCACGATTTGCGCATGGTCGAGAGGTTGCCCCGCCCGCGGCGTCGAAGAAGCCAATGCCACTGACACCGACGTGTCGCAGACAGAGCGTGGCTATGAGGATTCTCTCCCGAGGGAGGTCATTTGGCACCTGCGCGTGCTACGGTAGCCAGCCATGCTCTTCAGCGAGGACAAAGTCGCGCGCCTTTGCCGTCTTCGGGACCTGATCAAGTAACTCGCCGCGATCGCCGACGTCGACACGGGAGAGATCGGGGAGGGGTAGACCAACGGCTTCCACTTCCTCGTTCCTCCACGACATCTAGGCGCTGCGTGATCGGGCAACGGGCAGGCGGCGCACGCCAAGCACTTTGACCATGGCGAAGGCCATGGATGCGCAAGGACCTCCCGTAGAGAACATGGATGGTCTTTGATAGCGTGCTCATGATCTTCAAGGCCTTGCCCCCCTACAACTCCTGGAGCTTCCACTTGTCGTAGAGTCGGTCGAGGCTACGGAGCATGAAGGACATCACACTGTCGTCCCAGGGACAACGACGAATCCAGGAGGCGGGCCTTGACGCCGAGGAGCGCATGGACAACGACGTTGGCCAGGGTGAGGTCCGCCCTAGAAGACCCACATAGAGATTGAGCCGGGAGCTAGGCTTCCCCACGACTAGCGCCAACATCCGATGCCGTTGTAGCCATCCGTGCGTGCCTTTGCGAACCGTAGCCGTCCGCGCGTGCCACAGAGCGCACCCACGAGCCAGTCCACTGTGGGCACTGTAGCATGGCGGTCCATGACAATTTGAATGAAAATAACAACCCGTTGCGATGTATGGACACTTTTGCTATAAAATAACAATACCCGGACTACGTATTGATTTGAACTTACTCAACCGAATCTGACCAAATATAGAGATCTCCCAAATATATCCCGTCGATTAAGATGATATTGTAGAGTTTAATGGCCCGGCTCAAATACAGTACGCCATTTTCCCAAACCGACATTTTTTTTTAAAAAAAGGGTAAAAACCACCAAACCTCTCGAGGCCTCGAGCTGGTGTGGAATACGAGCTTGGGCAGTTGGGCTCGCTCGAACTCGACTCGTTGGCAGCCCTCCACCGCTGCTGTCATTCCGTCGAACATCTCGCCAGCACCGCCGGGCACCGCCTTCCTCCGCATCCCGTCGGCTAATCCGCAGCGTCCAGCGAAGATGGAGAGGTTCTTCTCCATCCCTGCAAACGCCCCACGGCGGGACGCGGACACCGGCATCACCCTGCTCTCGGGCCCCCCGTGTTGGTACGCGCCTCATCGCTCACCTTGCCCTGCTCAAACTAGCCCTTTTTGGCACGCGCTGCACCGGGATCGAACCGGAGCAACCTTAGTACCCCCTCGGTTCATGCAGTGCCCTTATTTTGGTGCAAGGTCAGCGGGAAGACCTCGCTCCTCTTCCAGTTCGCGGTGAACCGCGCGGCGGAGAGTGGCCGCGGCGTCGTGTTCATCTGCAGCAAGGGGAGGCTGGAGAACAACCCCCCTTTCCTGTCCCAGGTGAAGAGCCTTCGTTTGCTTGGCAGCGTTGCTCATGCGGAAGAGGAGCGAGCTGCAAAAGGTTGCACGTGCTGGATGGCTGTTCCTCGTTTCTGAATCCACACCTCCTTTGGTTTCAGGGTGTCGATCCATCGATGAGCTTACTTCAGAGGATACAAATCAAGTAAGAGGTCTTCGACTCGTGGATGTGTTTCTTGTTCTGCATATTTGGTTTTGCAATCCCATGCCATGATTTTAAATTCCGAATGGTGTAAGAATGTGCAAAGTTGTGTATTTCATGGATTGTGTTGCTTGGTTATCCTTCTGCTCGTATTTCGTGTAATGTTTTGTTATAATGGTAGCCATTTCATGCAGCAATGGCTAATTTATGCTCAAATTATGTGTTCTTGCTCCTAGATATATTGAAGACGTCGATGATATCAGAAAGTACTTTGCTGCATTTCACCTTCTTGACGACTTCCCTGCTGCAGTCATTGTTGATGATTTTGCAGATTTCTTCTCCGAAAGGTGTCATTTCCAATCTGTCTTGTGATGTTAATGACACTTATATCTACATAAATTGTTGACTTCATGCCATGGCATGCAAATCTGGTTCAGCATTTGTTACATAAATAAACACACTAATGGGCAGCAACCTTCAAATGCGCCCTTTCTTCTTCTGACTAAATTCAGATGATGGATTTGAGATAGCTCAAAATAGAGATTTTGATCTGGACTATGTCTTGAATTGTTAATGTTATATACTCAATCATTTGTACAGATTACTTGAGTTAAATATTGTCTCAGAGCTCAGCATATTTCATTTAGGATACTGCCATCAGTTGTTTACTTAAGCATTTCCATATAGCACTACCCACTACTATTTCATTTTCATATTGTCTCTTAACAGGCACTTTGGTTTCCACTATACAAAGAAGTTATACACCAGCACATCACTCTAAAATTAAATTCTAGACTTGCAGTTGTTATGTTTTTTTTTTTGTGTGTGTGTGTGTGTGTGTGTGTGTGTGTGTGTGTGTATGTAGGTAGCTCTGACCTTGCTGAAACTGTCATAGGAGCTGCCAACAAAGATATGGAACTACTAGGGCTCGAGATCTAGCAATGGTGCGCATATTAGCTTTGTGCCACAATGCTATTGGGCATGCAAAGTAAGTGACACAGTAATGCTAAATCTTGAAATATCTCTGTACCAGAATGTTGTTTGAAGTAACCATCTAAATCTCTTTCATAGTGCAAAGCTCGGAACCCTTGGTTCTTGCAATCTATTACTCTCTGATGTACATCAAGGTGATACCCCAAGATCGTTGTTCATTTACCAGAGATGGATAAATTCCATTTACACAATCCGAGGTAAATCCTTTAGTAGACATTACCCTTCTTTATTCAGTTCTTATTTTTATTTGCAATTCCTTTTGTGTTCCCACTAGTCACCTCAAAAATTGTAATCCTCAATATGGTAGAACATTTTCTACCCACACAGGAGGCATGTTGGGAGATAGTATTATGTATTCAACTTAAAATACCCAAGTGAACATGTCAAAACTACCTGTCAAACAGACTTCGTAAAATTGCAAATTTTGTTGTCGAAAATACAAGTGATATTTTCTTTTATTTAATAGAGCTACCTCCAATTATTTTGTCTATGAGTGAATGTAGGTTTGATATGGCTTGAGTTAACATGTTTGTACGATATAATTTCTTGCCTTTTCATAGGTGACGGCAAAGGATCCTACATACTTCAGAACATTGGCAGTTCAGAAACTGGATCAAAGAAAGCAAGAAAAGCTAAATACTCGATAGCACTACAATATCTTGTTCTTGAAGAGACCAGCAATTAAATTTTCTTTCTTTCTTTTTATTACTGTTCAGTTCCCAACAGAGATCATAGGACCCAACAGTTAGTTTATGCTTTTAGCATACTGACTGTAACAACAATTTCCTTTTTAATGGTTCTCCTAGCTGCACTTGAATTGGTTGTAAATGAAATTTTGCACCTCTAGCTGATATGGGCGTTTGCATTTGCACCAACCCACAACCGGGTTTGATATATTGTACTGAACTTCAGCGAGTACCCCGTATGGCCGTATTGACATATCTCCAATATCCTCATTTTCCCAGAAGTACAGGAATTGTTCAAGTTGTTAGACTGGATTGATTACATGTGCCTGATAAATATTTAGCGAAGCAGCAAGGTCTCGCTTTAAGAAAATTCTTGCCATGAGCAAGTGGCAATTGAGTTGTCAGGGGTGTTTCCGTTACCTACTTTCCTTTACTCTTCCGGACAATGCTTCATTCCGTGTGCATGCCTTTTCCATCGAATACTTCATGATAACTTCAGGTAAAGTAAATCGCATAAAAAATATATAGCGCAACACGAGCTACATGTACGTTTGACCATGACATCTGAAGCGTCACGACCTCACGGGTTAACCATAAAGACTTGCATGTTCCTTATCAACAAATACTGCATTCCAGGACACCCAATGAAAAATCCCGATGAGCTCGTCAATCATGATTTTTTTGAACATTTGCAACGGATAACATATCCGTGTAGAAGTAGAAGACTAAAATTTATTATTGAAAGCACCAACGTAAAGCAACATAGTATCAATTAAGTCACAAAAGGAACAAAGGAAGAGAAAAAGGCTGAGCTGAAGGCTATGCCAGGAATTGCATAATAGAGTTTCTCAGTTTCATACTCCTGGAATGACATTACACCAGCAGGAAGCTCTGTGAGACAGAAGAGTTCTACCCTCTCCAGCACCAACTAAAAACTAGGAACACACAAATGTCACATAATTCTTCATGACTGAAAGGCTGGCCATGCTGCTCATAGATCTTTAACAATCGCAATACCCATGGAGTTGGCTGTGCCAATGATGGACTTGCACAGCGCCTCAAGCGACATGTGCTTGCAGAAGGGGTCAGCCTGCTTCAACTTTGCAATCTCATACACGTGGCGGAGAGTGAGGGATGATACATTGCTGTGGCCTGGGCGACTGTTGGCGGTTTCTATTCCTGCTGCCTTCTTGAGGAACCATGATACTGAGGGCGACTTGACCACAAACTCGAAGGTGCTATCCTTGTAGGCAGTTAAGGTGACTTGCATTGGAGTGTCTGCCTTGTATTTCTGGGTCCTGGCATTGAAATCCTTGCAGAAAGCCATCAAATTGAGCCGATAGAAACCAAGTGCTGGGCCAACTGGAGGTGCAGGACGGGCTGCACCAGCTGGGACGATAAGACGGATTGTTGCCAGTACAGGCTTCCTTGCTGCTGCATCTTTCAGAGTTGCCATCATTCAACGTATGTCTGCATTGTAACAAGAGCTTCCATCAAACAGTACAACATAAGTCAATGAAGCAGTCAGTAGCTGAAAATGACATCCCACTAACTGCCTTTAAGGTCTGTCCTCCGATAGATGCCCAGAGTAACAGAAAGATGGTGTGCTATATAAAGAAGTAAGTTTCACATGAAAATTTCCTGAAGTTGCCTGCCCTGTATTTCCATTTACAATTTGATCCAATTGAGTTTAGCTCAGATGTCAAGAAATACTAGTGCTTGCACCTTATCTAAATCAGAGTTCAAAATAATAAGTTCAACTAGTCATCTTTTAGGAAAAGATAAAAAAAATCATCTAGTGCAATGAACCCAAGACAGAAATGCCGCATGGCAAGCACAAAGAGCAATCAGTCAATCACTCGTAAAAACCTTCAAAAAGAAATATTATTCTAACTTTCAATGAAAGATGTTATTCTTCAGATATATAACAACTGTCTGATCAAATAGTAACCTAACTTGACTTTGCTGCCTTTACTGAATACATGATTCTGGGCAGAGCCAACAGGATCTCTAATTAGAGACATATGTCGAATTTGCAAGAGGAGTTAGCCAGTGACACCGGCACACCGCTTCCTCTATAAACAGTAGCATAATCATATTATTTTTCTACAAGCAAGAGAAATGGGAAGAGGAGACATTTTGTACAGATAAAAATAACAAAAATGTCAATCCTTGGGCATGATCTCTGGTCATCAGTGATCTGTATGATACAAGAACTTGGAACTGAACTCTAGAAAGGCAAAGCGGTGTCCATTTGATGAAGACTCCGAACCACAGTAGTTTGAACAGAAACACACATGATATTCCAGAGTCCAGACGGGTAATATATTGATGACAAGCAAGCTCCCAGCTAATCAGAACAACATCCTAGAACAATGTGGCCGTGAACACAAGGAGGGTTAATATGACAATGAACTTCACAGAATAACCATTATCTACAGCTACAGGGGCGGACCAGTAAAAGACATGTGTGTACACATGGAGACCAAATAACTTTTGAAAAAAAGGAAAATAGGCATAACACTTGTAATTATATCAGATCCGAATACAGATATCCAAATAGCTTAAGTTAAGGGTCCAGGTGCTCAGTTTCGCACGAGGGACGAGAAAGGGTGCGCATACCTGGGTGCTTTTCGCCTGCGAAGGGATTGGCGAAGGCCTGCCCAAGGGACCGAAGAAGACCTGCCCAAGGCAGCTGACGACAGAGAGAGCGCACGCTGGCACGCGGGGTGAACGGGGAAGAAAAAGGCAGGAGTGAATGGACTTGAATTTGCCTGAGGCTGGAGCGGGCCGGAATGCTACTGCTGAGATCAAGGCAGAGTGTTTAGGCCCAGTCGTCTAAAACTGACTGTTGTTAACTATATATCACAAAGGGAATTCCTATCACAAAATATCTATACGAGACGATACTAATTTAATTTGGTCCATCTTTAAAAATAGGTGAAACACAAGAAATTTATAACTTTTCTAAATTAAGTTGATTGAAAACGAGTTTTATATCAAAGTTGTAGTACTTGAAGAGATCTACAACTTTAGTTGACGACTTTTTCCATTAAAAATCATTTAAGGCTTAAAACTTTTGTTTTAAGTTTTCATAATTTGAAATTCAATATTTTATTTCAAATTATGTCTGATGGAAAAACGATCTAAATCAAAGTTGCAGTACTACACACTGTCTCCAACAAATGTTTATCTTCCAATTTTTTCCAAAATAGAGTAGCCCATAAGTTGAGCCAACACGCTCGTCGTGTAAATTCGCAGCAATGTGGTTAGCAGGGTTCCAGAGCGTATAGAGCATCTTACCAACTCTTAACTGATGAGAGCTCTCTTTATGTGAAAAAAGAAGGGAAAATAGAGATTTTGATCATACGATTCTAACTGGGTTTCCATTTCATGTGCGTTCCTGGGTGAGGTGGACAAGTTATTGATTTGAATAGTCGATGCAATGTTGCTGTTATGTGAACAAGACAACATGAGCCATAGATTTAAGCATAGTTAAAAAAAAAAAACAAGACATCATGAGTCAGATTTAAAGGCCATAGCAAGATAAAGGAATAGTTGATGCACAATGAAATTAATCTATCCATGCTAAAAGAACTAGCGCACACTGTATCTGAAGTTCGGAACATAACCAATGACTAAAGATCAGATTATTAAATACAAAGGATGAAGATGGTGGGCGCTGATTATCCAAGACATGGAGATTATTTGGACAGAACAGGAAAAGCAGGAGCCGTGGTAAAGGAGGAGGGTTGTGTTAGGCGTGGCGAGCCAATGTAAAAACTTAGCCACTTAAATGGAGATGAAACCCGAAAGAAAATCGTTGGGGCGTAACCCTCTTAGCGACGCGCCATATCGGAACCCGGGTATGGTGTTAAATGGGCAAGGGCCGGGTCGTCACCCCCGTGACGCGCCGTGTCGTGATCTGGGCATGGTGTCAAGTAACCAAGGATCGGGTCGTCGCTTCCTTAGTGGCGCGCTACATCGGCGCCCGGGTGTAGTGAAAAATGAGCAAGGGTCTTCGCATCAGAGTCGACGGGTGCGAAGGGTAAGGAAGCTAGTCGAACCAACTAGGATCCGTTTAGGTAGTTGGAATGTAGGGTCACTTACAGGTAAGTTAAGAGAATTAGTTGATACCGCGACTAGGAGGCGTGTAAATATATTATCGTTCAAGAGACTAAATGGAAGGGTCAAGGCGAAGGAGGTGGACAATCTGAGTTTCAAGCTTTGGTATCTGAGGACGAACATCGCGAATAGAAATGGAGTAGGAGTTTTGATTGATAAGAGCCTCAAGAATGGTGTGGTGGGAGTGAGAAGGCAAGGAGATAGGATTATCTTAGTCAAGCTTGTCGTTGGTGATATGGTCTTGAACGTAATTAGTGCGTATGCCCCCAAGTAGGTCTCGACGAGAGTGCTAAGAGACAGATTACTGGGAAGACTTAGATGGCCCTGGTTAGAGCCATACCTAGTAGTGAGAAGCTTTTTATAGGAGGAGATCTTAATGGGCATGTAGGTACTACAAGCGTTGTGAGTTCGAGAAGGCGATTCATGGAGGTTTTGGGTATGGTAGTAGGAATCGGGAGGGGAGGAAGTTCGGACTCAGCGGTAGCTTTTGACACGATGATAGCCAACACTTTCTTTAGAAAGAGAGAATCTCATCTAGTGACCTTCAAGAGCGGACAACATCAGTAGCAGATTGACTTTGTCCTCGCAAGAAGAAAGGACAAACGAGCATGCTTGGATTGCAAGGTGATACCAGGGGAGTGTGTTGTTTCTCAACATAAGCTTTTGGTGGCAGATTTTTTCGTTTTCGGTGCGTGTCGTGAGGGATAAACAAGCTAAGATTGAAAGAACAAAGTGGTGGAAGCCGAAAGGGAGACGCAGAGGTATTTAGGGAAAGGGTTATCAAAGAGGGCTCTTGGAAGGAAGAAGAGGCGACATAAACAATATGTGGGACAAGATGGCAACCAACATTGGAAGGTAGCCTCGGAGGTGTGTGGAGTAACCAAAGGAAGGGGACGCGAGGCTAAAGACACTTGGTGGTGGAATGAGGAAGTCCAAAGGGCTATTAAGGAGAAGAAAGAATGCTATAGACGCTTGTACCATGACAGGAGTGTGGACAACATAGAGAAGTACAAGGTGGCAAAGAAGCCGCAAAGCGAAGTGTAAGTGTGGCAAAGGGTAGAGCGTCGAGGATCTTTATCAACATTTGAGTATGAAGGAAGGAGAGAAGGACATTTATAGGATGGCTAGGGGTTCGTGAGAGAAAGACACGGGACTTCAACCAAGTTAAGTGCATTAAGGATGAAAGGAGCATCTCTTGGTAAAGGAGGATGAGATTCGACATCGATGGCAAGAGTATTTTGACAAATTGTTCAATGGTGAGAATATGGACACAACCTTTCGGTTGGATGACTCTTTTGATGACACCAATAGGCGCTTTGTGCGGAGAATCCAAGAATCGATGTCGAGAGGCGTTGAAAAGGATGAAAGGAGGTAAGGCGATGGGACCGGATGGTATCCCAATCGAGGTGTGGAGATGCCTCGGGGACATAGGCGTAGTATGGTTGACCAAGTTGTTCAACCATATTTTTCGATCAAACAAGATGCCCGATGAGTGGAGGAGAAGTATATTGGTACCGATCTACAAGAATAAAGGGATATTCAAAGTTGTACAAATTAATGGGGAATTAAGTTGATGAGCCATACTTGAAGCTATGGGAGAGAGTTATCGAGCATCGCTTGAGAGCAATAACGCTGGTCTCTATGAACCAATTTGGTTTCATGCGGGAAGATCAACCATGGAAGCCATTTTTTAATAAGACAAGTTATGGAGCGGTATAGGGAGAAGAAGAAGGACCTACACATGGTTTTTATTGACTTGGAGAAGGCTTATGATAAAATACCAAGGAATGTTATGTGGTGGGCTTTGGACAAACATAAAGTCCCAAAGCGAAGTACGCGTCGGGCTCATTAAGGACATGTACAACAATGTTGTGACTAGAGTTCGAACAAGTGATGGAGACACGGATGACTTCCCGATTAGGATAGGACTACATCAAGGGTCGACTTTGAGCCCTTATTTGTTTGCTTTAGTGATGGATGAGGTCACAAGGGACATACAAGGGACATCCTTGGTGTATGCTTTTCATGCAGACGATGTAGTGCTAGTTGATGAAAGCCGGACGGAGTGAATCAAACCGGAGTTATGGCGGGAGACTTTGGAGTCCAAAGGTTTTAGACTTAGTAGAACTAAAAGCGAGTATATGAGATGTGACTTGGCACTACTACTCGGGAGGAGGAAGATGTTAGTTTGGAAGGTCAAGTAGTGCCTAGGATGGATACCTTTCGATATTTAGGATCAATGCTACTGAGGGATGGAGATATTGATGAAGATGTTAGCCATAGAATCAAAGCGGGGTGGATGAAGTGGCGGCAAGCGTCGATGTCCTATGT